ACTGGAATGAAGGAGGTACCGTAGCCTCTTTCTAGTGAAAGAACTCTAGAGCACTTTAGGATAATTTGCAAAACTGAGTGGAAGCATCATATGTAAGTTTCCTCCAGAAATTCAGTCATTCCTTGACTTCACTTGTGGTCACTGGAACATTTGATCCATTTTGACTAGAGGAATGATCAATTATGCTTCTATTGCAATCAGTTGAGCTTCTTGAGAGTCCCTTGGACTGCAAGAAGATCAAACTAATCAATTCTAAAGGAAGTCAACCCTGAATATTCATTATAAGGACTGATGCTGAAGCTGAAGCTCAAATACTTTGGCCACCTGACGTGAAGAACTGACTCACTGGAAAAGACCCTGATGCTGGGAAAGATTGAGGGCGAGAGGAGAAGAGGGCAGCAGAGGATGAGATGATTGAATAGCAGCACCGACTCAATGGACACGAATCTAAGCAAACTCTGGGAGATGGTGAAGGACAGAGGAGCAGTCCATGGGGTTGCAAAGAGTCGGACACAGCTTAGAGTCTGAGTGGCAAACAACAACAAGCTTAGAAAAATATTGACCTGGCTGCATAGATTAGAATGAAGGATGAGTTAGAGACAGAGAAGCAAGCTGCACGTGTAATTTAGCTACAAGTAAAACATGTCGGGGCTTCCCAAGTGGCTCCGGTGGTAAAGGACCTGCCTGCCAATGCAGGAGACATAATGAGGCACTGGTTCAATCCCTGTATCGGGAAGATCCTCTGGAGGAGGGCATGGCAATCCACTACAGTATGCTTGCTTGGAGAATCCCATGGACAGAGGAGCCTGGCAGGCTGCCGTTCATAGGGTTGCAAAGAGTCGGACACGGCTAAAGTGACTTTGCACACACACACATGCAAAGCATGTAGACATTAATGCCAAAATAAAGCTATAGTAATTATAGATCAATCCTAGTTTTCAATATGTTATTAATTAAAATACATGGAATGAAGGTGAGGACTGCCAGGGGTGCATCTGGTTTTTCTGAGTACCATGCCTTTAATTAATGGCTTGGCCACACTTAAAATGCTATTTATCAGTTCTAGAATCTACACTTTGAGATATTGTACAAATGAATACATGCCAAAGAAACTGACCAAGATCACCCAATATCTCAGATTGCTACATGAAAAATGATTGTGAGGTTTAGCTCTCAGATGATATATGGTTAGTATTCAAAAACAGGAAACCCTCTCTTATGGAATTAAAAATAGTTGTCTGTGTGTGTGTATACATTTCACACTGTAGGATCAGTACTAAAAAGTGGAAACTATGAAGAGGGAGGCTTTGGCTTCATTTAGGGGAAAATTTTTCAAATGATATGGGTTCCTTGCCAGTGGAATGAATTGCTTAGTGAAGTAGTGAATTTCTCTTTATTGCAGGAATTCAGACATAGTTGGATGATAACTAGGTGGGGATTTTTCAGAATAATGTGGTTCTGGTTGGATGCATTGGGGAAGTTGAAAAATATTGTACTAGATATTTTTAAGGTCCAAAGACTCTCAAGTTCATGATTTTAGGTAGTGATAATGGGAATGGATGTGAGAGTTGGATTATAAAGAAAGCTGAGCACTGAAGAATTAATACTTTTGAACTCTGGTGCTGGAGAAGACTCTTGAGAGTCCCTTGGACTGCAAGGAGATCCAACCAGACCATCCTAAAGGAAATCAGTCCTGAATATTCATTGCAAGGATTGATGCTGAAGCTGAAGCTCCAATACTTTGGCCACTTGATGCGAAGAACTGACTCATTGGAAAAGACCCTGATGATGCTGGGAAAGCTTGAAGGCTGGAGGAGAAGGGGACGACAGAGGATGAGATGGTTGAATGGCATCACCGACTCAATGGACATGAGTTTGAGTAGGCTGTGAGAGTTGGTGATGGACAGGGAAGCCTGGCGTGCTGCAGTCCATGATGTTGCAAAGAGCTGGGCACGACTGAGTGACTGAACTGAACTGAACTGAATGGGAATGGAATGTAAAGAATCCTTGCTTCTTCCTGTCATCTTCCTCTCCTCCTGCCCTCCCTCCTTCCTTTCCCCTCGCTTCCTTCCTTTTCCTCTCTCCTTCCTTCCTCCTCTCATCTCTCCTTCCCTCCCTCCCTTTCCTCCTTCCTTCCTTCCTTTCTTCCCTTCTTCCTTCCTCCTTCTCTCTTCCATCTTCTTTTCTTTTTCCTGCCTTACTCCTTTTTCTCTCTTTCTAACTTTCTTTCTTCTCTTCTTTTCTGCTAGACACTTTGCTAAGTTCTGGGAATATAACCAGGAACAAAGCAGGCATAAAATTCATCCTCACAGAAGGTACAGTGTTTTGGAATTGGATAAAATTATCAGTTGTGATCAGTGCTAGGGGAGAACAAACAGGCATCCGTGCATATTAAGGAAATCTGAACTACTTTGAGAAGACTGGGGAATTCATGGTGGGGAAAGGAGAAGAAAAGATAGGAATGTGGGGAGAAAGAGACAGATGCATACATTACATACACACTGCAGAGACTGGAATATTTCAAAAAGTCTGTTGGCCATGGTACATGATTTGGTGAAGTCATTCAGAGGTGAGAATAAATTATAGATTATGAGAAAATTTTAAGGCCGCAATTTTCAAGAAAATGGTTTACTTGAAAGAAATAGGGAAGACAGAAAGAAGAATTGGCTTTTAAATGAAGGTAATTAGGTTGGTTTTGACTCTGTTGAGTGTGAAATATTGACTGATCTGCTTTTCACTTATTTTGGACATGCACGTTGATAATGACCTGCGTGCTTCTTTTTTTCGATTTGCGATACTTTTTTTCATTTATTTTCTAGATTACTGTTATTTTATTTTTTAATTTGATTATTGAAGTATAAGTGCTTGACAGTGTTGTGCTAGTTTCTTCTCTACAACAAAGTGAGTCCGCTGTTTGTACACATACACCCCCTTCCTCTTGAGCTTCCCGTCCACCCTCCACTCCCCTCCCACCCCCCCAGGTCATCACAGAGCAATGGGCTTAGCTCCCTGTGTGGTTTCCCACTAGCTGTCTATTTTCCACAAGCTAGTTATATACGCCAGTGCCACTCTCTGTTCATCCCACTCTCTCCTTTCCCCTCACCTTGTCCACGTATCCATTCTCTACATTTGCATCGCCATTCCTGCCCTGCAAATAAGTGGAGTGCTTCCTTTTTATAAAGGAAATGCACCTGTAGCATGATAACCTTTGTCTAATTTTACTACAGTATTATTTTAAATCTTTATCCTCTCTTGGCATTTATTTCTGGGCTAAATCTCAAAATCCACAGATTTCTATCCTTCGTTATTACCAAAAAGAACTGGAATTTTATGTTTATTGATAAAATAAACTTGGATAATAAAAGGGTTAAGTAAAAACAACAGCATTTCTTGTAGCATTCAAATGCTATGATGAATTAGAGATTCAATCAGATTAAATTACTGTCCAGTTATATCCATGTGATTGTGGTTACTGCCTGTTTTTTTTTCTTCCTGAGATTTAGATCTAAGCCAAAATTAGAATGATGAAAGTAATATACATAAAAAAGATTATGAGTCAGTTCTCTAAATATTTTTAAAAAACCTTTCACTATGGAAAATTTCAAACCTATGCAAAGAGAAAGAGTAAAATAATGAATCCTCCATGCCTTCACACACCTTGAATGATTCTTAATTATGGCTAATCTTATTTCATCTGTAACCCTATTCACTTCCCACCTCTAATTATTTTGGTGAGAATATCAGAATTATATCATTAACCTGGAAGTGATTTGGTATATATCTTTAAACTATAAGCAGTCTGTAAAAAGCACATTCAGGGATGGTTAGGGAGTTTGAGATGGACCATGTACGCACTGCTATATTTAAATTGGATAACCAACAAGGACCTACTGTACAGCACATGGAACTCTCCTCAATGTTATGTGGCAGCCTGGATGGGAGAAGAGTTTGGGGGAAAATGGATACATGTATATGCATGATTGAGTCCCTTCACTGTTCGCCTGAAACTATGATAACATTGTTTGTTAACTGGCTATACCCCAATACAAAATAAAACGTTTAAAAAACAAATAAAAACATATTCATGATAATAGGAAGATACTGGTACACTAAAAGAATTCTTTGATGATATTCATTTTCAAAGCTACGCCTTTAAAATTTTAAGCATCTAATAACAGAATTGAAACATTTGACCTTAAATGAAGAGAAGCAGTTATAGTTTCAAAGTTTTCCTTCTTAGTATACAGACTTGGATGTGTACCCGAATTATCAGAAGCCATTGGCACTTGGTCAGTCATTTTCTACCAGGATGGTATGAAAGTCCAGATACCCCAATACCAGTGAAGATCATTTAAATCAGATTTCAGTTTATATTCCTCTCACATAAAGAATTAATCATATCAGACTTGATGAAATAATCTACTGAGTAATGATTCACAGGAAAGGAATCTTAGCTCAAAGGTTGATTTGTTTCTAGAAAAAAAAAGGTGGGGAAAGAGAGTATGTTCATTTCCCTTATCTCATCCAATGCAAGCTGATTTTTATATGTCAATTTGAAAAGAATCAGTGAGTCACAGCAGGAAGAGTTTGCTAGTAAATACCCTCTCCATTTGAGGGAACAAGCTGTAATCTAGTGAAAAATGTTTGCATTTTAACATTAGAAGAAACACCTAGTACAAGATATTTGACAGTTTTCTTGTTATTTGCCTGAAAAATGTAGCTATAATGTATCTACATCATAAAGATAAAGTGAGTGAATGTGCTGGTTGGTTAGCTAGTTAGTTAAAAAAAACTACTAGTAGTTGCTAGTTACTCAAAAGCTAATTAACAAAACCTAGTTTAAAAGGGCGATAGGGGCATAAGTATTGAGAAGCTAAGTTGATCAGGGACATCTTTGGCACCACCACAGTATTTTACTAATCTAATTATTTTTGTACATTCTTATTGTCTCCTCTGGATGCCACTGAAGTTCCTACATTTAATTTTTTTTTTTGGTACAGGTTATCAAGGATCCTCCTCCACCACCACCTTCTGCACCAAAAGAGGTAAATGTGTGCTTAATAAGTGATGTGGGTATTTTTTTTTTTTTTTTTGTATTTAGATGTTATGCCCAGATCTAATCAATTACGTTGTTGTTGTTAGGTAACTCTGATATACTGACTTTTGAGTTTATGAAAGTTACTTGTTATTTTTCAAACCTGTGGTTTCTTTTACATGTTAGAAGATGGGACCTTCATACATTGATAAACATAGACTGGCCGTCAGGAGCAATAGTACATAGAGATTTAATTTACTTTTATACCAATATATGAATAATATGCTGTTACTGACCTTATTTACAAAAAGTTGGAAGATCCAGGCTTGCAGTTTAAAGATATTATTACTTTCTTCAAAATTATTATTACTTTTATATTACTGCTATATGCTGTATTACTATACCATTAATATAGTATATATTAAATATTATATTACTAGTATGTGGCATATACTAGTAATATTATGTTAGCAAGAAGAAACATGGCATTGTGCATTTTCAAAGCTTCTCAACTACCTTTTTAGTACCAATTTTACAGGGTTCAAATTTACACATATGTTGAGACTTTAAATGATCATTCAAATGTGGTCCTAATTTTAATGTTTTATCTTTTTACATATGAAATGATGAATAAATCTGGAAAAAACAAATGAAGTTCATAGTTAAGGAGCAACTTCTGGTAGCCTAGCAAAATAAGGTAGATTCCATGAATTGTGGAATGAAAGGAGCCCTTATATTCTGTAGAACTTCACTTGAAATTTATACACGTAAGCAGAAGTACATACACATGTGCTATGTGTAATTTTTACTGTATTTCTTCCATACCAGTGGTATTATTCAGAAAAATATCTAAATGTGAGCCAGTTCTGACTTAAGTAACAGTTTAAGAAATTAATTAAACACATTTTTAAAAACTTGTATCTGCATAGGAGGAAGAAGAACCTCTGCCTACCAAGAAATGGCCAACTGTGGATGCTTCCTATTATGGTGGTCGAGGTGTTGGAGGAATTAAAAGAATGGAGGTTGGTATATCTTAAAAAAAAATAGAACCTGCTAATCTGGAATATATATTTTTAGAACTGTTAAGCCATGGAAACTACTTTTCACAGCTCAATTTCCTAATACCATCCAGTATTTCTTAACATGTGGTATTTTTTTGGGCAGTTTTTTTCCATGGAATAATTCTAGCCATTTCAAAACTGTGCAAGAACTAACTTCATTAGCCAATGGATTGCATTGATAAGACTCATGAATTCTAAAGGGCAAAACAAAATTAGGGATTTTCCTCACTGTTTTGGAAAAAATGATGACAGAGAACATCAGCTTTGAAGAAGCCAACTACTTAAAGTTGCAACAATGCTTGTCTTTGAAGAGTCAGTAGTTAAGTACTGTTTGGGGAGGAAAAAATGTTAAAATATTCAGTAGAGTGGATATGACCCTATCACAAATGTAGAGGAAGTGCCTTTAAGGCTTTTAAAAAATAGGTTTTAGTTGCCACTTATGAATAATCATAATTAATATTAAATATCATTTATAGAATGTATTAAATTTTTAGACTGGCAAAAAGTGTGGATTAAAATAAAACTTAAATATTATATCTTAACCATCAAATGAGGTCTTCTTATCACCACAGACATATTTTTCAATGTGATGGAATAATTAATAATAAGCAAGCCCTGTCAGCACTGACCCCTTAACGTGGCAGAGATAAGCCAGCCTCCCACCCAAGGGAGCAGTTGGAGGGATTTTGTCATTGATATCATGAGTTTATTATTAAAACACAGATCCTGGCAAAGCATGTATATAAGAAGATGTATGCGGGGGGAAAATGGTTAGACAGGAATGGGCACAACGTGTTAGTAGTTTTCTTTGAATGGAGTGATTTTCAGTTTGTGTTATGTATTTCCCTGCTTGTTCATAACCTATTTGTCAGTGAGCATGTACTAATTTATATCAGAATAATAAGCCTCATTCCACTGTGAAATCCACACATATAAAATACCATGTGACAGTGGGGATCAAATACATTGCGTGTGTGCTCCGTTGCTCAGTCGTGTCCAGCTCTTTGCGACCCTGTGGGCTGTAGCACGCCGGGCAGCTCTGTCTATGGGATTCTCCAGGTAAGAGCACTGAAGTCGGTAGCCACTCCCTTCTCCAGGGGATCTTCTCAACCCAGCGATGAAATCCAGGTCTCCTGCATTGCAGGCGGTCCTTCGCCATCTGAGCCACCTGGTATATTTGTTCTTATTGAAAACATGAGGAATTGTGGCAGATTTTTGTTTCTCCAATATTATAGTATTCCAGAGATTAGGAGTCTCTTTCTACAGAAAAGAAAAGCATATGCATGAGCTCCTGAACGGGCTGCAAGTTAAAAGGCGTATTATTGGAATGTGGTCAGGAAAGCCATGGGCCGTGAGCGTCCTTGAGTAACTCGCATTTCAAGTTTTAAGAGCTACTGACTCTTTCATCTAAAATTTAGTTGAATTGAAATTTATTTATTTGTGTTTTAGTTTTGACTTAATTGATATGAAATTACATTGCCCTTCCTTTTTAGCTGAAGAAAATTTATGAGAAGGACTCATTTACTATTAATAAAGCAGAGTCCATTTTAGTCACAGATAATTTTTCTAAAGTTTTTTCTTGAATGTGGACCATTTTTAAAGTCTTTATTCAATTTGTTCAATTTGTTTTACATTTTGGTTTTTCGAAACAATATTGTTTGTTTCTATTTTACATTTTGGTTTTTTTGGCTGTGAGGCATGTGGGATCTTAACTTCCCGGACCAGGGATCAAATCCGCTCCCCCTGCATTGGAAGGCAAAGTCTTAACCAGTGGACCACCGGGGAAGTTCCCTAACCATGGATAATTTTGGCTATATTTTATGGACTAGTCTATCAGTGAGGTGGAACTAAGGATGGGATGATGGAAAAAATGAGCAAGTAAATATGGGCATCACAAAGGGGAAACACAATATGTAAAAATACACAATAAAAATATACTGAGAATTAAGCACCATTAGACTTTTTTAAGCATGAATTTATTTAAACTTGGAGAGGAAAAATAGAAAACATACCTTGTTTTAAAATCATGCCTATTTAGATCTGGAAAGTATTTTCCTTAAAAAATAAATACCTTAAAGGGAAAGTAAATGGAATTATAGAAATCATGGTACATCTGAATTAAAAAATAAATCTTTGTAACTAAATGTTATTTTAAGCCAGTATAGGAATTTTAGTAGAAAGTCTTTCTTCCTTCTCCTTTACATTAAATATTTAAACACCGTGGTAATGGCAATTTGCAGAAAGCTGGAGCTGAACTGATGTTAATAACAGCTGTTAGAACAACTGATCCACGGTACCTGATGACTTCACATGTGTGTTTCTGGCAGTGCAGCAGGAAACTGTTTTTGTTTCTTTTCTCAGTTCTGAAATTGCTCCTTTGTGATACAACCTCTGAATATGCTCAGAAATTATGGAATTTCATTGTTTATCATGAAAACCAAATAGAATTGGAAACATGTAGCTATCAAACTTGCACTTTTTTTAAAATAGTCAAAAGTCAGATATATCAGTTTTGTCAAGGCTGCCTTTAGCAACCTGTTCTTGTTATTCTCTTATCCTTTTTGGCTATCTCAATGTGGTCAAACTAAAATATTAAAATTTATATATATAAGTGTGTATATATATTTAATTGTTTTTAAGAGTTTAAGGAAAACTCTATATAGTGTTTCCTAGCTTTAGAATTTGAAGCTGAATGAGAATTGATCATGCTGTTGTTTGTGGTGATGGTGATAATGATGAAAACAGCTATGATGAGCTAAGAATAATGGATTTATGTAATGCATTTATTTTAGACCTCAGCAACTATAATGGGGGCTTCCCTGGTGGCTCAGAGGTAAAGAATCTGCCTGCCAGTGCAGGAGACATGGGTTCAATCCCTGGCTCGGGAAGATTCCCTGGAGAAGGAAACAGCAAGCCACTCCAGTATTCTTGCCTGAAAAATCCCATGGACAGAGGAGCTTGGCAGGCTACAGTCCATGGGTCGCAAAAGAATTGGATGCAATTTAGTGACTAAACAATAGCAACAACAACTATATATTGGGTTGGCCAAAACGTTCATTCAGTTTTTCCCATAAGAAGTTGTAAAATGGACTTTTCCACCAGCCTAGTATCATACATTTAGTTGTTTAATAGTTGAGTCCTTAGAAATGCCATGTTGGGCGAGAACTCATGTTCAACTGTCTTTGTGTTCTTTATCTAAGAATGGTGCCAGTGTTACTTAGAGGAAGGATACAATTACCATTACCTCTGTGATATCAACTGTGAATGCTGCACTAGTTAAAATCTAAGTTAAAAATCTATAACTTCTGAATGGTCCTAAATTTTACCTACTTATACTTCTACTCCGAATTACTTCTCTGTGTTATGATATTATTTGACTGTATCTCTTTTTTCCCCCCTTAGAATAGAGACTTTACAACTGCAGGAGATGGGTCCTGGTTTTAGAATTTTTTAGTTCAATTTAGATATATCTAAAGATTTTTAAAGTTTTAATTACTCTAGGTGAAGACACTGATTTGAAAGAGAAGGTCATTTCTCTGGAAAGAAAGCCAACTATCTAGCTCTAAAGGTTTAATGGTGTTTAAAACAGTTTTAACAACCTCATAAAGAACATTCTAGTACCACTGATCACACTGAAAGATACAGATACATTTTAATGACTCAACAGGGTCCACTTGAAATTGAAAACCTATTCTAAAATTGTAGTTAAAAACAGGTAAAAACATCTAAGTAAGCCTTATCAAAAAGCTATGAATAGATCTTTCTATGAACAGTAATCATCTGTATTCCTGTCTACTAATTCAGGTCATTAAAATGCTTTTAAAAAGCTTATTAATCATTTTTTCTTTGTAGAAATTACTTAACACTGGTGACTCACTGCGTGCCCAGGACAGGCCTTCCTGTTTCTTTTTAGAGCTTCACTTATTTTTGTCTTCTTTGGTAACATCCTTGCTTTTTAGACTTCTCTGCTGCTCTTGGATGAACAAAACCTTTCTCCAGGGGCTGCATCCTCTTCACATGCCCACACTTGAAAAAAATTTGGCTCAGATTTAGCCAATTTTCATAGAAAAATAAAGAAAACATCATTTGACCGTGCAGTTTTTTTCAGTGTCCAGGGTTTTCAGAGAAAGGAATTCCCCCAAATTTGTGGAAATCTCTGATGTCTCTGAATTCTTCTCTTCAGAGTCTTTTCAGATTTGTCTTCCTTAATGAAAAATGTATATATATGTCAAATAACCATATGCATATGAGCAGAGGAACTGAAGACTGAGAGCTGCTTTACAAAGTGAAGATAAAACACATATAATTATTTTTACTTCCAAAGGCAAAAGTTTAATCATACCTTTGTCCTTAGTCAAACTTGATGGAAACTTTGGAAGGAAAAATTAACTCCTTGTATAAAATATATTTGTAAAATTCGAACCTAGTTGAAACATCTTGTCCACTTCAGACTAACATGTTCAAAGCCCTGTCTTGCTACTTACTGCGTGGCTTTGGGCTCATCACTTAACCTTGTATATCTTTGTTTCCTCCATGGGAAGCAAAAAACACAGTATCTACCTCATAGCATTTTTTGTATGGATTAAATGCAGCTTGGCACATGATAATTATTCAATAAATGCTAATTATCATCATGATTACCATCTATTTCAACCATTGTCATCAGTATATAGGGGTGTGTGTTTAGCTAGAAGGAGAACATACCGAAAGAATATAATTACACATTTCTGTTGTAAAATACAAATTAACTCCTTATTTGAAATAATGGAGAAATGGTTGTATCAAATTTAGTTGATGCCAAATTTTTATAAAGGGTCTTTATTTCTAGGATCTTGATATTAAATACATAAGGAGTATGTTAAAAACCTGTTAAATCTCAGAAGAAGAGGAATTTGGAGTTAGGTTACCTACTCATCTTTTGACTCTGAGGTGTTGAGCCAAGAACCAATTGAACAAGAGTCTGTTCTCCTGGGCCACTGTATGTCTGATAGCAGTATTTCCCTTTGTTTTAAAGGTTCGTTGGGGTGATAAAGGATCTACAGAAGAAGGTGCAAGGCTAGAGAAAGCCAAAAATGCTGTGGTAACCCTTCCTGAAGAACCAGAGGAACCCGTCAGACCCAGACCACCTCGATCCAAACCCACACACCAGCCTCCTCAGACCAAGTGGTACACGCCAATTAAGGTGACTGTTCAAACGTTGTGGGATTTAACTGCAGTTCCAAAAGTGTAATCCTCGTAGTCTCCCTGAAGGAGGACCAAGTTATATCAAACAGCAGACATTCAAGTCACCTCCTAACAACTGAGTCATTTCTCAGTAACAAGTCATTTCTCACCGTTTTTGTTATTTATTCATTTAGTTAATGAAAGAAATGAGAGTAGGGGAAAAGACTTTATCTTCATTTTAGCTCATTTATCTAGCAAGCAGAGGTTGAGTACATTTCCCAGAGATTGACAGCTCATGTTTCCCTTTAGGGTCGGCTGGATGCGCTCTGGGCTTTGTTGCGGAGGCAGTATGACCGAGTTTCCTTGATGCGACCTCAGGAAGGAGATGAGGTTTGTACCTGGGATCTGTTGGGGAAAAGCTAGATTATTCTTTTAAGGATGAAATAATTGATGAGATTAATATTTTCAGTGCCAAGCTTTATTTAGTGTTATATGATTCTAGCGTGGTGTTTAAACTATCAAAACATCTAAATCTTAAGATTTTACTTCTATGAGATGGAGATAATTTTTAAAACATCTGAGTTCAACCATTTAGAAAACCAATTTGAGAAAATATTCCTGGAATATTCCCAACAGATCATTTACCCTTTGCTGTGACCATAGGTAGAGAGAATTAGGTGGTTTGTGAAGCAGGCTCTTTCATTACCAAACCACTGTGGTTAATACAAAGTTCTTGTATTTAATGAAGTTTGTGCCTCTGTTTAAATTAATGCATAATCTAGAGTTCTGCTTCTCAAACAACATGTAACAACTCTCTTCTTCAATATGCTAGACTTTCACTTTATAGGTTTTAAAATTGTTTTCATGCATCATCTTAGTTTTCTGTCCCCCAACTTAGACATTAATTTTCAACATTTTAAGTGTTGGGTATAGTGGTAGCACTGAAGATGTACTAGCAAAAACAAGAGTGGTTCCAACACTCTTGTCAGCAATCTTCTATATTCCTTTATGATTCCTCTCATGACTAAAATTTAGTTTTATGGCCTTTTCTTATTTGTACTAATTTTGACTTAATTCACTAACTTATAGATAATAAATATGCACAAGTAATAGCATCTGGTAATATTGAGGGGTACAGATAATGGCCTTTGCCCTTAAGAAATCTAAACTTTGGGATACACACAAAAATAAAATTTATTCCAGAACATGATCTAAGCCATATGTAGATAAACATCAAGGACTCTTGAGTACATGGAGGAAGAGACATTAACTCTTCCTGGAGGAATCTGGGAATGTTTCATCAAAAAATAGAGGCCTGCTATCTTTGAAAATGCATTAGGTTTCATCAGGTGGAGCTAGGTGGAATGAGCATTTCCACAGATGAAGCATCATGAGCAAAATCTCCGAGATAGCCAAGAACAGTGATATGTGGCTTAAAAAATAGTCTGGAGGTTGGGGATTCAAGCCAGAATGATGAATTGGGAATAGAAAATCTTTGAGTTTGGATAAATCGATGCATTTGTGCTTCTGAATGATGCATTATCATTCTTTCATTAATTCAAACAAATATCTTTCTAAAGTCTAAAATGTACGAAACACTTGGTTAGATACCAAGTAAATCTAATGTTCTTCTTATAGTGCTAGAATAGTTTACATGTTGCCCCAGCAGGTTAAAGCATCATTTATTTTTCCATGATTGCAGAATAATACTTTCATTATTTTGACCAAAATTTCCTTTGTTTTTGTTTTTTTGAGAATTTGCTCGTTCTTCAGTCTGATATAATCCTGGAACCTTTATCCTAACTCTTGAGGTTAAGTTGTTTCAAAACTCAGAATCTTTCAGATTTTAGGAATCTGATACAATCCATATATATGTTTATATACTGTGGAAAGCATCATCTCCTGAGCTCAATGTTGAGACATTCTGCTACAGAAATATTGATTACTACAGGTGGATAATAACAGACCATAAATACTCTCCAGTTAGTTCAGGTCAGTTTTTTCTTCCAAATGTATTTTAGTGACACAGTTAACACAAAACTTTCAGTTTTTAAAGATTTTGTATTTAAAAAATATGGACAAAAGATAGTAAACTTTTATTGTTTCCCAGTTTTTTGTTTACCACTTTTTTCACTCTTCACCTATATGTGTGATTTATGATTTTTAAATTTGTTTTTGTTTAAATGCAGGACTTTAAACTTAGTAAATATCAATTGTTGGTTCAGTTAATTGATTTGCTTTTCCATCAGATAAATATTATGATTCTGTGTGTGTCTGACACAGTCTGATTTAATCTTTATTCATAATACCTATTCTTGATGGTTTTGCTGCTTCCAAAATTTTGTCAACTGCAAATTTTTGTCACTTAGTTCAAGTTCAGACCTCAGTGGGGTACTCCATGTGCACCTTCCACACAGATTGACACTCCACACTGTTAATTAAAATGAATATGGTAAAGGTAGAAGCCCACCAATAGTATTAACTCAGTTTACCATCTTATTCACAAGGATATTTAATAAATTTTATTAATTTTCTGTATTTAAGGTATAATTATATTTCTGTATTCCCCCATTCAACCAAATCAGTGATGCAAAATTATTTGGTCCTGGAAATCAAGTAATTTTGACATGACTTTTTTCTTACTTCTAATTCTTGCTATGATCTTTTATAATATTTATTATTTTTATAGACTAGGGTTTGATGTCAGACCTATAGTTTACAGCATATAACTTTTTCCCTTTAGACAGCCTGGGAAATCTTTGCCCTCCCCTCTTTTTATTTCTCATTTCCCCATTTTTCATGTTTCATAAAGATTATTAAGAATATCTGAGTTTCTGTCACCTTTGTATCATCTACCAGATCCTCTTTATTTGATAGAGTTTATTTTTTAAAAAGATCATATAATATTTTTAAAATTCCAGTACTTTTCTTTTGCTTTAGAATAACTTTCATTTGAGAAACTTAATTTACCTAGTAAGAAATTGAAGACCCAGAGGTAGGAGGAGAATAAGTGATACAGAACATATTTGGCACAGCTAAATTTTTATGTATGATAGTAAGATGGGATGCTTTGCTTTCGTAATTATCTGTGCAGGAGAAGAAGACCATGGCTCACTGTAACCTTCTATTTATTGTGGCTAGTTAGGTAAGCTCTCAAAAATTAAACTGTCTGAACTCCAAGGTTTTTATCAACGTCGTTTATATAGATATGGTTTATCTCATAGGATTACATGGAGTAGAGGAAAATTTAAATTTAGAAGACGAAGATGTCCAAGTAGCAATGTCCTCTAGTTTTCTGCCTATTCTTAGTTTTGGATTTCCTAGGCAAGCGGGGGCATAATCACTTAATGAGAAAATTAGTCTTGGAGGTTTTTTTGTGACACATTTAGATAGCTAGATTTACCTATGACTAGGCTCCGCCAGCACAAGGAAGGATAAAATTCTATCTTCAACTTGACTCCCCTGAAACCAATCAGTACTTGATAAAATTAAGTTAAAATACAGATCTCTGACTACTCGGACAACTCATGAAATATTTCTTAAATATGTATGTACTATATATATAGTATATATAGGTATATATATATGTATCAATATTGCTTCCCACTAAAAAGATTTGTCTCTGCATATCGAATAGTTCATTGGAATATATGTTATTAGCTGTTCAAGGTCAGTTCTTTTTAAGAAAAACTTAACCTTATCAACAAACTGGTAAATAAATTTTGCAAATAATTTTGTGATTTTTCTGTGCTTGTAAAGGTTTGAGTGTGTTTACTTTTGACTATGCTTCTTGTGACATGTGTGCATAATGGTATAAGAGGTGTGTGTGTGTGTATGTGTGTGTGTTTAAAGCAATTTGTACATTGCAGAGATTAGGAGGACTTTTGGAAACATTTTCATTTCGTTGGGCATGGATGCAGTTTTGCTGTATATTGTCAAGAAACAAATGAGAACGCTTTCTCATTTCTCAATTTTAAAGAAAGTAATAGTCACGCTCTTTCTTTGGGGGGTAAAAAAAGACACCACAAAACTGCCTAAGAGAGAATAAAACACCATTGTTTTCAGCTTGTGGCTGATGGTTCCAAAATAACACCACCTCCCCTTAGTCAACAGCGCGGCTTTCCACCCTGAAAACCCATCGTGTCATGGATTTATAAATTGTTTACTGCAGACTCTGCCTCTTGAGAGTCTAGTTTCATAAACACATCCGCGCCCGTAGAACCAAACCCGGAGTCACGCACATTTCCCCGGCAAGGCCCGTCACGCTGAATTTCCAGCCAAATGGCTCTCCTTTCATGGCTCCGAGGCCGCAGCGGGCTCAGTGGCAGCATCCGCGGCCGAGCTGAAGCCCTTGATCAAGTAACTGAAGTTCAGGCCTCGAGTATCAAAGCGGCGCCAGGCACCTCCGGCTCGGCCCCCGCGCTCCGGCTACCTGTGGGCGCCGCCAGCCCCCGCCAGGCGGCGGGACGGCGGGGCTGCGGGCGGCCCGGGGGCCGGGCTTTGATGGCGGCCGCGGGTCCTCGGAGTCATGAATGTTTCAGCGCGCGGGCGCGAGGTGCGGGCGGCGCGTCCAGGTGTGAGCTCGCAGGTTGTCGCCGACATCTGTTGGCCGCGGCGGCGGCGGCGGCGGCGGCGGCGGCCTCCCCCGGCCCGCAGCGAGCGGCCGGATTGTCAGCGGAGGTAGTTGAGAGCGGCAGGACCGTTTTTGGTCTCCCTCTCGCTGCCTGCAGGCCTGAAACACCAAAGGTAGGAGCAGGGGGTGGACACAGCTGCGCTCCCGAACTTGCCTTAGGCGCGAATAAAGAGATCTAATGCAGTCTGACTCCGTGGCGGTGGGGAGACGAGGACGGAGAGCCACTTCAGAGACAACTTAACGCGGCAACATCTGCCGCCAAGTTTCCAGGGAGTGACGGGGGACAGCAGGTACCGATCGAAGTCTCCACATAAACAGCCTCCGCGAAGCCGGGGACTCTTTTGAAGGGCCTCCATCAAACGGGCTGGGGTCTGCAGCAGGCGTTTGTTTGGTTTTCAAAGCGGTGTTTTGTTTTTGCCATAACAAGGTAATTTATAAATGATGCATTAGCAGGCGTTCTCTCTCTGTCTTTTTTTCCCTTTTTCTATTTGAAAAGAGAGTTAGAGAAGCGGCAAAGCAAAGAAGAAAGCGCAGCCCTGGTTAGGGAGCTGTTGCACAAGCCCAGTCAATCTCCAAGGAGCTTCTTGTCTGTCATCGAGGTTATGTTAACCTTCAGACCGCAGCCCCTCGTTCACCAGCAAGCAGACAGAAATTGAAACAGGGCCAGAAAAGAATGCTGGTGAAAGTAACACCCGTGAAGTATGCCCGCTTTGTCTTTGTTTTTTAAACTTAGGGCTTTTTATTACATGGAGATGAA